TTCAATTATCCTTTTGATATTATTGTATAATTGCTATGACACTGAATAGTTAATATGTCACACTTGTACTTGCTTAGATTTATTTCACTGTACTAATATATATATATATATATATATATATATATATATATATATATATATATATATATATATATATAATGACCGACTTGCGTCACTCATGGCGCAGGTGAGATATCCGTTCGCTGACTAAAGGACGAGTGTACTGCAAAGTAGTTCGCTCCGTTCTACTATATGGCCGTGAAACATGGCCAGTCAGAGTAGAAGATATTCGTAGGTTACTGGTTTTCGATCATAGGTGTCTTCGAAGCATTGCTCTTATATCCTGGGACAACCGAGTAAGCAACGCTGTTATTAGGAAACGGGTGCTAAGTAAGGATGGCAGATCAATAGATGAAATATTGGAACTTCATCAGTTGAGATGGTTAGGACATGTGCCTCGCTGAGCTATATTTTGCGGTGTAGGAATAGGTTGGACGAAATCTAGGTACGGCCAGAACAAAACATGGCACAAATCTATGAATTCATTGACAAGTGGACTGAATCATGTCGGTAGGTGTCGACTACCTGGTTGGGGTCCGCCAGATGACAATAATCGATGGTTAGAGACCCTGAATGACATGGCTTGAAACCGTTTGCAGTGGCGCCGGTGCATTCATTCTTTGTGTTCTCTCAAATCCCAAACTTTTTTATTCTTCGTCACTTTATCCTCATCTTTTTAAGTCTGTTTCACTAGATACGACTTCTTGAATAATATCTTTAAGCCCTAACCTCTCCGACTACTGCTAATACCTTTACTACCTTTACTACCTTTACTACTATTGGATTTGAAGTGACAATTACATTTCTGTGCTAATGTGGTATGGCAACATGAACTGATGTATGTACGTACGAAGGTCTATGTTGCTATTGATTGATATATTAATGAAGAGCCATAATGAAAAATTAATCGTTTTCCCCGTGGTGGTGTGCACAGATAGGACGAAGTGGCCATCTAATGCTTACAGGATTCCAATGGTAACTTAACTTAGATCTACTCATTGTTTCAATGTGATTGAAAAGAGCTTTCTTCACCTTGTTTGTCCTTCGACTAATCTACATCAGTTACTAAATAAATGCATAATATCAAACCTATTTAAAAGAAATGAGGGCAAATCTATTTGATTTTCTTATCCATAATCTTAGAAATTTAACTGTATTCACAAATACTGTTCTTTGTTGTGTAACTACTGGCCAAAATGAACAGTATTAAATTTTAGATGAATATCATTGAAGCATGTGAACTAGTTAAGTTACGTGGAATTTTTAAAACTACTGAGAAAAAGCAAATAAATTTAAGAAATCAATCAATGTTAGTTATCCTTGAACAAATTAGTTTGTGTAACTCTAAAAAACATTTACTTCATGTTCATTCATAGGTTGTATTCGTTACAGATTAATCTTATTTGAGGGATAACCCGAAAACTAGGTTTCAACAGAGTCGTTCCATCCCTTCTAATAAAAATCCTCAGTTGTGCATACCCACTACTCCTCTAGGGATTGAGCATATAAAAATTCAGGTCTTAAAGCAGATGTTTGTCCATTAGAGCCACTGAGTCAGAATCCATTGCTACAGCCCCAACTTCAGTCAGTTTTCTGTATGATGTGATAATTATTCAATGCAAGTGAAGACAACAGGTTTTACTTCCCATACATTTAAATTCCACTAGTCATGACTTTTCAATAGAAATCTATTGATTGGTACAGTTTAACTGAAGAGGTATTGCGTCTGTGTATTGATTAAATTTGTCGGCTATATTCACCACAAAAGGGTGTCAAATTAAATCAACCTTCAACTAAAATTATTTTCCCATAATATTGTTATATATATTTATGGTTACAAACTGTTTCTTCTAATTTAATTACTTAGTACTAATATACCTTTTACCGACCAATAAACATAACAGACATCTAATTATGAATGGTTTTGTGAGAAAATAATTTCTTTTGCAATCGACTGGCCACGGCATACTGACTAATGTCGTGTATCACACATACACACCATGGACAAATGCTAAATAACATAAAGCCTAGTCTCAGGGTTTCCTATCGATTACCTCAAACCACCACCTTGTGTAAATAAATGTTTGTAGTTGGGCCCCTTTTGAAATCAATCAAATTATAGTAAGATAAGTTAGTGCAGTTCAGGTGTTTAATCATTTGAGTTATAAGTGACACAGGAATATCATAACAGCGTTACTCATACTTACTTACTTACTTACTTAATAACTTACGCCTGTTAGCCCCAATGGAGCATAGGCCGTTCACCAGTTTTCTCCAACCAACTCTACCCTGGGCTTCCCTTCCCAGTTCCTTCCAGCTGTTGTTCATTCTTCGCATGTCTTTCTCTATTTTTCGGCGTAACGTGTTCCTTGGCCTTCCTCTTTTCCTTCTGCCCTGAGGGTTTCTTTTGAGGGCTTGTTTTGTGACGCAGTTAGGTGCTTTTCGTAGTGTGTGTCCTATCCACTTCCACCGCTTCTTCCTGATTTCCTCCTCCACTGGAATCTGGTTTGTTCTCTCCCACAGTAGTTTGTTGCTGATGGTATCTGGCCAAAGAATCCGGAGTATTTTGCGTAGACAACTGTTAATAAACACTTGTATCTTCTGGATGATGTCTTTCGTAGTTCTCCAGCTTTCCGCTCCATACAGTAGAACTGTCTTGACACTCTCTTTTGAATTATTTACACAAGAAAGAATTAAGTCAAGTTTGTGCATTACACCAAATCTGTCACATCACCGATTTTTCAGTCTAATTTTCTTCGGTACAACTAGATTTTGCATCCTAATTTTTACATGCTCTGTAAAATATTCTTACTTCAGTGTTCAATTTTTATTTGACTAATGATAAGAAATCTATTTCTCCTAATTTCTGTAGTATTTAGTTAATCTTGTTTCTAAAGTTTATAATGGTAATGTAATTTTGATAGAAGTATGTCTTGCATCATTTGTAGACACTGTTGATCGAACTATCTTATTCCGAACATTTTTCCCATCAAATCAATATATCTTAAAAGTTTTAGTGTACAATGATCAATAAGTGGAATTGTCAGTTTTTTTTAAATTTTAACAATTTATTCTACCGTTTCAATTCAAAATTATGCTTTTAAAAATACTGTCTCATACATTGAGTTAATAATTCCGGTAAAAAAAATTTTTGTATGATTGATGAATGCTGTATCGGATTGTCTGATGAATTTCACAAGTAGACAAACAATAAACAGTTAAATAGATAATGATGAGAATAATATATTTGTAATATCCTAATGAGTAGAAAGGTTAAAATCTTCCTGATCTTTCCTGACTCAGTGTAAGCCACTTCTTCAGTGAGTAAATAACCAAATAAAAACAACTCACGTTTCAGTGATACAAAGGAATAAAGCAAACGTTTATTTAGTACAACCAATCAATCACTCATTCAAAACAGGTGTGACCAAACATAATGCCATGTCATTCCGGTCAAGGTCTTTTGGTAAAGGCATTTATTGCTACAGCTGATTTAATTTAGAGTCTTTCAAAACTTAGCTGTAGCAAGATTATTGAATGGTTTTTTGGTGAACCAAAGATGTTTATTGACTCGAACTATTATTGCACGAGATAACTTCTCAATATTGAAGCTATCACTGTTGAAACATCCTTATTTGCCTGTATAGATCAATGTTCACATAAGGGGGATCTTATTCTTTTTACAAACTAAAGCCTTACGAAGGGTATTAGTTGTTTTGTAGTAGGCTATAATTCCGTACCTTCTTAGGTCTCTTTAGAGTTCATCTGTTGCGCCATGGTAGTATGGTGAATCGTTTTGTTTTATCTCACTGTTTGATAATATTCATAAGAAAATTACTGAATTCTAAAATCTCAGTTATATATTTCTGTTCTTTTGTTTATCCTCTTCAGATATCATAATCTTGATCGCTCTTCTAAATAGATTTACGGCCAAAGAGATTTGTGCACTGAACGGATGTGCTAAGTTGAAGTCAATACAACGATCAAAGTTTGTTGGATTTCGATATATACTTAGATCTAGAGTTCCATTCAGATGTCTTTTAACTAAGCAATCAAAAAATGACAACTCTTCATGTTCATTTTCATTCTCATAAGTTGATTTAATGTGAGATGAAAGATCAACTCAGAGACAGTTCGTAGGAAAGATTTTTTCTATTAACGATTCTCAGTAGCACATAGAAATACACAAGCATATCTCACATAAATCACCTTGACTGGAGTGACATGACATTGATTTTGTCAAAACTGTTTTTTAATTGACTGATTATACCAAATACTTTTTTATCTTGTTTCTGTGTACCATCTGAACTTGAGTTAATGTCATTCATTCATTTACCCTTAATTTATTCCTAATTATCAACTCAAACTTTCGTAATAATACCTGTAAACTGATTGATGATGTAAGAAAAACTTTATATATATATTCAGTTTATAAATAAGTAAACATAAAAATAATATTAATTTAATAAGATAATTTATTTTGAATATATATATATATTTTCATGATCACGTCAAATTTGAATTTGACCACTTATTCATTTATCAATATTTTTTTTTCTAAATAAAACAACTCATATATCTTTTGTTCATAAGCTAATTTTTATGTGAATTTAGTTTAAAATATAAAAATTGTCATAATAATAATAATAATCAGAATAATTTGAATTGTGCGCGCTCAAATTATCAATAGTTTTATTATGATTATTATTATTGAAATTTTAATTTGTCATCAATTATGAAGAGTATTGTTTTTTCCCATTCGTTTCATTTCTTTCCAAGTTTTTTTTCTCTGCAACATAGCGAATTAGAAATAAAGGGCAAACATTGTTTTTTTCTTAAATTACATATTGATAAAAGATGTAGAACGCTACTTTTTGAATATTTTATGTTCAATAAAGAGTGAAATCGAAATGCATCATATGAAGAGAGAATCTGTTGAATTAAATATTCATTGGATTACTTCGGATGTTAGTAGTATCGGTATTACTATTAGTAGTATTAGTAGTAGTCATAGTATTGATCATATGAGAAGCTGGATTAGCAGACGGATGATGATGACACAGAAAATAATTATAATCCATGAAGAGTTTATGATGAGGATGATGAGGATGATAATAATTATTATGACTCTGATTGTTATCAGTATTTTGATTATCGAAAGAACCAGTGATATTCTCATTAGTATGACTTAATTGTTTCTTTTTGTCTGTAGACAGTTGATTGTTCAATGATTGTGAACTGAGTGAATTCCACAAATGATGATTACTTTGTAAATCATGTGATACACATGATGGTGGACTAGTTGTTATTGATGTTGAACTGTCATCCATTTCATGATGTGTATTAATGAGAATTTTATCACGTATACGTTTCTTTTGTTTCATTCGACGATTTTGAAACCAAATTTTCACTTGAGTTTCGGTTAAATTTAAATCAGCAGCAATTTCAATACGTCTTGCTCTAGAGAGATAACGATTAAAATGAAATTCTTTTTCTAATTCAGTTAATTGTCTAGTTGTGAAATTTGTTCGTCCACTTAATGAATTGCTATTGTTAATCACATCGTAATTTAATTGATTATTGAATTCTGTACAGTCGATAGAACTTTTGTTGTTGTTGTTGTTGTTATAATTAAGTATAGTTTCGTTTTTATGTAAACTATTCATAGAAAAATTCATTGTTGTACATGACAATAAATCATAATTCATATTATCTTTCATTATTCTATGACTAGATTCCATGTGATCAGATAAATCAGATAACCATTCTGATGCATTTGTCTTGAGGGATGTTATATTAGTGATTTTATTGGGTTCAGAATTATCTTGAAATTTTGTACCATTATCAAATAAGTTATTATTTGAATACGATGAAACAACAGATCTTGATGAATTATATTTTTTATTTATGGTTGGTTTGGTTGTGAATGTATCTATAAAGTAGAAAGAACAAGTAACAATTAAAACATAAGATGTTCAGTGTTATAAGTATAGTGATTACTCACTGAGAAGTGACTATTGTTACATTTGTCGGATTTAGTCAATCAAGTTGCAATGTGGCTATTAGTTTACATATCTGAATTTCGTACACCTTGGATGTCGGTTTCACGCTATTCGGTACTTGGCAGTAAAGTATACCTACAATCTTGAAGAAACTATTGTCACCTGGTTGATTCGAATCTTAGTCAATTAGCTTTACAATCTGAGGCATTATTAATCAGCTTTTCTAACCACAATTGGCATTCTGCAAGATCGAGGCACTAATAGTGATTGGTCATGTACTTTTCACTAACGATGTAATCCTTAGCCGTTACGTCTTATTTTGCGAAGCACTGTGTTCGTATATACAAGGGACTATCAGTTTCTTAGAGATTGCTGGTATATTTTGTTTAAAAGTATCATCCAACACGAAATTGAAGTCCTTAGTTTCTTGTTGGCTTTATTCACACCACCTCACATCTTATACTACAGGCGAATTCGATGTAGTAAAGGATTGAAATCGTCAAGTTACACTTTCTTATAAATTTTTATGATTCATTTCCGATCAATAAGACTACAATTATTGTACACATTTCATTAGGGATTATTTGTTTAACATTCTGTTAATATGACGGTAGGATAAGTTAAATTATGTAATCTTTCCTCGTTAAATGGATAGCTCAACATTATGGTTTCTCTTCTAAGCCTTGGAATATTAAATTCATCTTTCATTATTGATATTTAAAGGTTTACATATTTTATATTCTTTCAAACAAAACTATAAATGTTTTATGAGCTGAATTAAACAATATTCATAAATCGTGAATCAATTGATTAAAAAATAAGTTGATATTTGTCGGTAAATAATGAAATTTAAAGAGTATCGGTGAACTGTTGTTTTATCTTAGATCTAGCATATCTTTGCAGAGAACGTTTATGACTCTGTACAAGTTCAAACTAAGAACACGTTCAATTCTTGTTGATCGTATGATAACATTGAACAAATGAATCTAAAATCGATTTCAGTTAGTAAGAGTGACTAATTTCAAACTTTATTAAGATAATAAATGTCCGTGCAGTTCTAGAATGTGGAAGATGCAAATAATTGTCAAGAGTGAATTTATTTCTGAATTTCAAATGAATTATTCAGGTAAACAGTATAACAGATTTCGTATTTCTCTTATGCATGCTAAATTGATTCAACGGCCTAGTAAAATAGTATTCTGCAACTATGAAGTCAAGAATTATGAACTTGACTGTCAAAATATATCGTAATTCCCTATTTTAAAAGATGCTTATATAAGTTATTGTTAGGGATTTCTCACAGACAAGATATTAAAAGCAGCTTCAAATAACTTTATCAAATTGCCCAGTCGTTTAAATAATCATCTATAAAGAATATATTTCAGTCGCTTCTGCACACTAGGAATAGAAATTAAGGAGGTGAAAATCAAAGGAGTGCAATCAATTCTAACTGCTATGGAAATGTAAGAGATACGGTTCAACCATATAAATAAGAGAGAAAAATGAAAAGTTAAAATCGATACCTAGTTCAAGTCTTATTATTAGGTAGTGAACAAATAAAACCATGTCAAGGTAACCGATTTCACTATATATTATTCAATCACTAGTTACAGCTATTGCAAAGTACTCAACTAGTAGTCAATAACTTGATGATGCTATTGTCATTCTGTCAACATACTCATCTACTAATCAGTAGTATATACAAGAGTAAGTGATGGTTGGGAGCGACAAATGCATATTCTAGTTACTTCAGTTTCCAGTTTCATACATTTAATTATGTCTTTCATAGATATATTTGTATAGTTTTACAAACTAGAGCTTAGCATTGGTTACTATTATCCAGTATCTATTAACAAATGTTTAATTTTGGTGAAAATCCTCATTGTCATAAGAATTCAACGAAATAAACGAAACTTAATAAATTAATATTGTCTATAGAGTAAAACAAACAATGGAATAAGCAAGCACCAACACATAAATCTAATTGTTAAGACTTATAGTTTATTCAATACTTTATTGTTTTCATTAATATTGACAATTTCAATCAAATCAAAAGTGTTTTAGTAAATTTGTTATCATAGTAACAACTACAGTGTGACTAATTAATTAACTAACCAAACTGACAAAGCGTCTAACTTATATGACGTATAAACCTGTAGTGGTGAATCGATAACCGTTTGAATGGTTAACAAAAAAAATGAATGAGAAATAGAAGACACACAAGTGAATTAAAAGTTTATTAGTTAAATTTCTTTTTTTTTAGCTGACATATTTTTTAAATTAATGATATTTTTCTGAATTAAGTTTTCTTTTTTAATCGAAATTGAGGAAAAAAACTACTAACATTTAATTCAAATAAAATGACAATAAAAAAAATTTTGACCAATATTGGTTAAGTTGATGATCATCATCACTATTGAACATTTAATCATATCATTTAGTTGTGTTTAAATAATTAAGAAATAAAAAAATAAAACAATTGAAATGACATTTAACAAATGGGCATTCATTATTTCTGTTCTCTAATGTGCAAACAGACAATTAAACAAGGGATAAACAAATAAAAATTCGTCTAGTCTTGTCGAAGAAGATATTTTATTGAAATTGAAAGATGACTGTGAAGGTGTAACTTACTTTAACATACACACATACACAGACAGAGATAGAGAGACATGAAAGTAGACGAATGAACATGAATGTACACTAACAACGTAGTTTTAGGTAGAAGCTTTGAGATTTTTCGACCCATGAGTTGAATAGTAATGACAATTTTTAAAAAAATAACACATTCAGTCTGAGTTATTTTGATTGAACCAATCCTTCTCTAAAATAGAAAATCAGTCTAGGAAATGAATTGTTATTTTAGTCATAGACAATGTAGAATCTACGACATATGTTCATTGATTCAAGTTGCTACATTACATTGGCACGATGAAATGCAAGATTATTACTCAGCCTATAGCTCCTCTGTGATTAGTGCCCGTCCCAAGCCCGGATAAAGGAGGAGGGTTAGTAAGATAATCCCGTAGAAAAGTAGCTCCCTAAAAAAATTGCTAACCAGACAAGGATAAGTTTGAGGTCAATAATAACCAATCAAGATCGAGGTCAACAGACACAAGCTACGAGTCATACGTGGAGAAAATCGAATACTTCACCTCTACCTGAAGTTTGTGCTCAGAGAATGAAACTCCATCACGATCACTCACCTGAGCAACGAATTCTCTTCACTATTGTTTATAGCGCGAGATTAATGGATGAAAAGTAAAACGAAAGTAAACATTTTAAATTCACGTTTGTTGAGTAGTGTTTATGATTATCAGAAATCAGAAATCCTAGTTCTTGTCTTATGTCAGTTACTTGTGTATACTTTTCCTATCAGAATCTCGTTTTTTTCCATCGGATTGCCACATTTGTGATGCCGATTTGTAGAAAAAAAATCATCTTCATGTCTTTCGTTTTCTATCTCTATGATGGTATTCAGGAGAACATTATATTAAAATTATAATGATAATTTAAATATTCAGTAAATATTACTATGAATTTTGTTAAATTGTGATTTTTATTCAATTTTACACTTCTCTTTTTGTTTGTGTGTGTTTTTTTTAAAATTAAAATTAATTTAGAAATCAGTCAATATTATTTTTAAAATTTTGTCTGTCTCTGTTATGTAGATCATATCTTTTGTTTTTCTAATTCAAAATTCGAAATAAAAATAGTGAATGCTTATTTAATTGTAAAATTAAAGAGATATATTATCAATTTTATTGAAAGTTATCAAATATGAATTTTATTGTCAGTTCAAAATAATTATTGTAAGTAACATGTGCTTTTCTATTAACACATGGTAGATAAAAATTTGATTAACTTATTTTTAGATGACCTACTGAATAGTTGTGATTTTTGTTGTGTATTAACTAGGGTTGACATGTTGCTCCAGCATGTTACGGGTTTATTGAATGAGTACATCAGCACTCCAAACTTCACATCAATAAGCATCTACAACCTTATCAAGAATCAAAACTACAACTTTTGGATTGTATGGTGTGTATTTGACTTTTAGACTAACGAGTTGATAGACAATGAGTTACAGTTCTAACTTCAATTATTTCATTAGATTGCACCTCTATCATGCAGTGTTAGTGACAATGAACGGTTAAATTTAATCACAAATAAGTGTATAATAACTATTGTTAAAACCATTGATCGATAAATGCGAGACCACCATTAATAAACCTAAAAGTACTGAACGGCCGTTTCGTCCTATTTGAAGACTCATCAGCAGTGCAGGACTTTTGATCTCGCGCGCTCAAACGCTTTACTTCTTGACTATATAATTATTATTAACTATGGGATCTGATAGAGAATGTTGAATCTGTAATTTCATATCATGAACTAATTATGATTTGTGTTTTTTTATTTTGACAATATACAATTTTTTAGAAAGACATTTTGCAGAAAAACCCGTTAAATTGCCAGCTTAAATATATTTGTAGTTAATAATCGTTTTGCTGAAGTTTGAGATGATATAAGTACCTACTTTTTTATATATCAAACAGATAGATATACAAATACAACTGTGGTTAGACAAGATTGTGTATTGATATGTGAATTTGAACAAAGTTTTTCTTATCATTCAAATGCAATAAGTTAAGTTGACTATTACTGGTTAGTTTTGATAAACGCATTTTATATGTATCAGATTTTGACTGAAGCCTTGTCGTTTCAACAAGGTATTGATGAGGGTCAACATTTATATTACAGTTTAAAGCAAAAGATTTTCAAATTCAAGTTTCTTTCTATCGATTAAATCTAAAAGTGGCAAAGCACTAGGATGATAACAAGTTGGTGGTTAGACAATAATCAAGTCTTGATCTACTGATGAGTAGAGACAGAAATCTTTGAAAACTTTATATTGCATTTTTAACAGTGT